AGATAAGAGGTATTTACATAAGATGGTTGTTTGGCGGGTCGCTATTCTCAATGGCGCTCTCTGCGTCTTCGTTTCACTCACAACCTAAGTATCTTTGCCCAAGTCGGGTCCCTTCATTACGGGGCTGCATACTGTATGACCTCCATGATGTTTCATATAACAACATAATAATATATCTCAGTAAAGTTGTCACCTTTGAATGATTGAGGACAACTTGTTGGTGGGTGAGACAAACGTGATCGAAAAATGCATATACTCAACGTTAGTGACACAAACCATTTGTATTGGTTGGTGGAGCATATATCAAGTTCAACTATGTCCTTTGGGCATACATAGTACAATATTTTTGCAAATCAATCAATCAAAGCCTAAAAAAATAACTGTATGCGAATGCAACATAAATAAAACGTAGTAGATACAGTTATATAACAAAAAAGTTAAGTACTTTTGAAATCTGCCTGTGTACGAAAAAATTTACAGCGAGCGTTTAGCCCCTTAGCTACCACGGTTAAAAAAATATAAAAAAAACTATGTCGAAGAAGTAAAGTACGCAATGGCGTAGCTACCCAGGGGCTAGGCGGGGCGGTGCCCCGGGGCCCCTAAGCTAAAGGGCCTCCTCGGCTTTAAAAATTAAGTACATCCTAGTTGTAAAGAGAATTTTCAAGTTTTAACTTTTTGGCCCCTGACCACAAACGGCTCGAATCGAAATCACAAAAATTACTCCCACTTCCAGAATATAAATAGAACATTATTAAAGACAATTATTGTCTATTTCGTCTTATTGTCTTTTTTATATAGAAGAAAAAGACAAACGACCTGATGACAAGTGTAACCACCGCCTATTAACAAATACAACAGAAGAATTGAAGGCTTTTTTAAAAGGAGTTTGCTCGTTTCTTAGAGAGCCTAAGTCATATTGGTCCGACGGAAGTGGAGCGCCAAACATTCCAATGATGTGGATTTGTGTAATGCGTTGATGAAATTTTGTGGTTGGAATTAATCCGAACAATTCCTCTGAACACTTTCTTTTTTTTCTTTATAATACACTCCCCGTGGTAAATGCGATAGTAAATGCAAAGGGATGTAACATCTCTTCGTCTCGTCTTTCGCCTACGTCGGTCGTTAGGGATCTGGTGCACTAAAGCTGTCTTCTTTGAATTCGGGGCTACACCTAGGGAAAAAGAGTTTTAGAAAAGACACATTACGACAGGTGCCAACTAGGAAGCACACATCTTCAGCATAATGAAAGAAACTCCATCAGACCCACTAGATTTGACGTATAGGGAGAGTAGTGCTCAGCGCACCGAGCGCTGTATAAACCGTATCGTACCGACCTGAAGGCGAAATTATACCTCTTTTTAACAGCGCAGGTGAAGCACTCTTATTATAGTGCAATGAAATTATACAGGAGCGACCAAACCAGGCACCACAGATGATAGAATGTGACGACAGAAGAACGTTGGTATCATACGGCGAGAAGCATACCCGCCCTTGTCCTCAAGGGAAGGATGCAAAAAAAGACGGCATCCTGTCCCAATCGGCCGACTTATAGTGCCAAACACGGCGGCGATATGCAAAACGCAACCGCGATGGGAGTGTGAGTGGTACCATACTTCGGATCAGACAATGGTCCAACGAGCCAAACGGGGCGTCAACGGAGACCTGATATCCGTTCGGATGGGAGGTCATCAGAAGGTCCAACAGGGAAGGTGCACGATCCTCCACATCTAGAATCCGCGTAGGTGAAGTAACCATTTGTGTCGGACCATATGCCAAGGCAAAATCATAAACAGATCTTCCCGCATGATCGATTAAACGAGAATCTAGCCATTCAGCGTGGTGGCCGTTTAAAATCACCAATGATCACGATCTCTACAGACGGGACCTGTTGTAGCACAGAGTTTGCAGCGATTTGGACGTGGTCAATAAGTTGGTCTGTGTCGGCATTACCTATAGAGGCACCCGTAGACGCGAGGATGGTCGTCCCTGAACTTCAAGTCTGCCGAGGGGTCGAGAACAGATGTCCTCTCTGAAGTATACGCAAACACCGAGGCACATAAGTGTTATAATTTGTATCCCGGATAGGAGAGAAGTATCCACCGGAGAGGACACCTGCGCCTCAGTTAGAAAGAGTGGTACCTAGCGCACTTCGTTAACGTTCGAATGAAATCCCCTGATGTTGCAGAAATTCACGGAAGGCGTGTCAGGGGTCCCCCTTATCTTATTGCTCTAGTTGCTACGAGCAGTATTAATCTTGAGCGGAATTTCGCCCCCCTCCCCAGGATACGCAAGGCTGCCTGAGCACCCGCTCTAAAGAAAAGTAGGGTAGCTTGGGCGTGGATGCTCAGCCAGGGATTTTCTAATACCAGTGGTGCTGGTACCCTTCCGGGATGGTGTCTTATTTAATTACACTACCATGTTAAGGGGGAGAGCGCTTAGGCCTTCGACCATCTGCACTTAACAGGCGAAGTAAACTTCTACTTGACGCTGGTTATCTGTAAGGTCGTTTCCCATTCATTACAACTCCTCATTTCATGTCTTACCATGTCGTCACTCCATCTAGTCTGGCCCACCCGTGCGACAGCAAAAGCTCCCGTGTGACTCTTCCAATGTTATCTTGTCTGCTTATATTACTAACTGTAATCTAATTCGTCATTGTTTATGCGTTACACATAATGCTTAGGAGTAGTAGAGAGTAGCTCTGTTTTATTATGCAATGCAGTGGGCGACAAGGAGCTGATGATGAAGTAGTTTGTTTGTGTGTAGTTTTGCACCTTTAAAGTTTAAATAGGACCCCAATTTCATTTTTGCCCCGGGGCCCTTGATTACATAGCTACGCTACTGAAAATACGCAAATATTCTTAGAAATGTGTCCTGGAATGGAACATATATAAGCGTACATATAGTATGTTCTTAGTAAATGATTAATTTTTCTACCGATTTCTAAAAGGAGACGGTACTCAATTCGACTGTATGTATGTTTTGTGTGTGTTACCTCATAACTTTTTTCAGGGTGAAACGATTTCGATGATTCTTTCTTCATTTGAAAGCTGTTGCTTCACATGTGGTCCCATATATATTTAACTAGCTGTGCCCCGCGGTTTCATCCGCGTATATCACGATTCTACCCATTGCGACATACGAATTTCGAGAGAGACATCACGACGGACGGTTGCTGAATTAACAAAGATTTAAAAAGTGAAATATGTTACTAAAATTACATGATTAACGTAATTGGTGGTTATGCATGGTACAGGTTATACGAATAATGTGGCCTAGTTTGTACCAGCGTTACTATTTCATATTTTAACATGAAGAAGTAGTTATTGTGACATAACTGTAAAAGTTAAACATATGGTATCGCAGACTTTTTTGTAGATATTGATATTCTCTATAAAACTGAACTACATCACTTTGCTCTATTATCAATAGCTTCCGCAGCGTACGCGATATAAGGATTCTTTTTGGGATTTTTTTAACACCTTGGGTTACATTAACTAAGTTTTCATACGGATCCCTAATTTTTTGAAAATACTATATAGCCTATGTTCATCAGGGATAATGTAGGATTCAAATAGTGAAAGAATTTATCAAATCGGTCCAGTAGTTTCGGAGCATATTCAATTCAAACAAACAAACAAATCTTTCCTCTTTATAATATTATTAGTGTAGATGTAGATTAAGGTTTGACCAATAGTTTTTGAGTTATTCTTGATAATTTATATTGAATTCGGTTGTACAAAAAACATACAGTCGAATTGAGTACCGGCTCCTTTTTGAAGTCGGTAGAAGAGACTGTCCTAGCTAATCTTCCGAATGGCAATACCGACTATGATGAAACTTTACGAACAGATAAAAAGCACGGATTGATCCAGTGTTTATTTTATCCAAAATCTTAGACATTTAAAAAAAAAAGGAAAAATGAATACGATTTGTGATTTTATATTATCTTCAATGTAAATAACGTCACAATAATAGATATTATCCAGGTGGAGACGGGGCGGGTCGCTAGCTATAAATAATTAATACCAATAGTCGCTACTTTGCAGCAATCCATTAAATATCCTTAATTAAAGATGTTAATAATTTATTAGGTAAGATCCAAAAGCGTGTCTTAGTTAATTATTTTTTAACATCTTCAGTTATAAATAGATTCACTCTAACATTATTTATAGTATTCTGATCAGATTCTGATAGATTTTTCAAAAGTATCTACGCTCTTTTCCAAAATGGCGGCCCGGCCAAATCGGTCAAGGTCGGGCATTTTTCAACCGACCCAAAAACGTTTAATGTTTACGTACCTAACAAGAATTTAAAATTGATGCGTTGCAGTAATTTTCTTTATGAGTTACATAAAAATGAATGATCGCCATTGATGATACGCCTGGCAGACGTTTGGCAGCCAGTTTGTTAGTTAATGATATGAAGCATCTTTTTTTATAGGATAAGGGTGACAAACGAGCACACAGTTCATCTGATGGTAAGTGGTTACTGTGGCCAATAGACATCTATCCTCAATTAAGAATGAAATGCCGATGCGATGTCATCCTTAAGGACTAAGATGGAATGCCTCATTTCCAGTAAAAAGGGTAGATATCTAGATAATATTTTCTATTTATGTGTTCAATGTTCATCTTATAGTATCACTGTTACATATTAACGTGGTAGAGTCACGCTGCGGCTATATTATACCTGTAGCACGAATGAGTCGGTTCGATCAGAGAAGGACCATACTCTTATATAATACCAGCATAAAATAGCAGCTTCATTCTGCTGTGTTTCGAATGGTGAGTGTAGAAAACCGGAAACCCTTTACAACGGACTTTAACAAAATGAGCAGGGTCTGAATTCATCGGAATATTTTTAATATACGTTCAGCGATAAACTGACAGACATTTACATCTGTCTTCGCTTTGAAATCAAAATGCAGATGCGTTGTCACCCCTGAGGACTAAGATGGATTGCCACGTTTTCATTGAAAAGGGTCTTCGGATCTCTACACCCGCCATAGGAGACACAGCAGCATTTACTTGCTATTTCACGCTGGTATTTTGTCAAAGCGTGGTTTTTCCCCGATCGAGTCGATCCATTCGAGCTACAAACATAATATTGTTGCAGCATGGCTCAACCACGTCAAACACTGCTTGATAGTGTTTCTCCCGCTAGCAGAATTGGCTAAACCGCCATACTTGACAAAAAAAAGACTTGGAAAAAAGGACACATTTATTATTAACGTTTATGCATTTTCCATATATATTTATTATTGCTCTTCGCTTGGGTCATCAACCTTTAAAATAATTATAGAAATCTGAGCAATTTAGATTCATATTAAAATAAATTAAAAATTCATTTTTAATTAAATTTACTATCTATTTCTTTCTTCTTTCCATTTAACATTCATGACGGAAAAAATCTTTCTGTAAAACTTACTTAATTCAGACTTCCAGTCACATTTAATATAAAAAAATTGTGACAGTTGAATTAGGGGAAAAATGTAGTATTTATCGTACTATATTATTTTTCTATAATATATAGTACAATTCACTGAAATATCGTACGATCCTATATATTATAGTCCGGATGACAACCCTACTACCTGATGGTAAGTAATGAGGCAGCCGAAGAAGGTAAGGTGCACTGATTTTAGCTTAGCTTAACAAAAGCCAATTCACTCCGGCCTTGAAGACACCCATTATAATCAGGCAGGAAGAAAGATTTTGGCAACTTAAATTTGCCACGTAAGTCCTCAGTATGTGAAAACACATCTGTCATTTTTGTTTGTTGGTTGGCAGTTGGCTCCAATTTTCTATATGAATACCAATGTATAATAGTAGAATACTGGTACTATTAGTATGTTGAGTGTAGAGAACCAGAAACCCTTTTTACAGATAACGAGGCGTTCCATCTTAGTCCTCAGGGTTGACAACGCATCTGCATTTTATTTTATTAATCGAGGATCGATGCATCTTATATCTCTACGACACTGTGTACTCGTTTGTCACACTTATTGCGAAATACTCAAACGCTGGTCAATTTTAATATGCTGTTAGGTCTCGTGGTGTCAGAGTCACTTTGACTTAAAGCGATAGAGACAGCAAGAGCCTTAACAGCATATTAAAATCGAGCAGAGTTTGACTATTTGGGCATTAGTTAAGTTTTTTTTTATAGGTGAGGCGGCTCACCTGATGGTAAGTGACTACCGCGGAACATAAACAACTGCAACACCAGGGGAATTTCAGATGCGTTGCCGACCTTTTAAAAAGGATTAGGCTCTTTTCTTGAAGGTCCCTAAGTCGTATCGGTTCGGAAAATTCGCTGGTGGTAATCGATTCCACAAGGAGGTTGTGCGAGGAAGAAAATATCTTCTAAATCACACAGTGGTGGACCGAAAATCATCCAGGTGGTATGGATGGTATCGCAAGTTTTGTCGCGATGTGCGATGGTGAAATTGAGTGGCTGGAATTGGTCCGAACAATTAAAGTGCCATTATTGAAGTAATTTCGTGGAATCTACTGGCCCACAACGCATCTGCAACTCCCTGGTGTGGCAGTTGTTCATGGGTGGCAATTGACATTAAAGTGTAAATTGTCTTATTGTAAGAAGACTCAGGTACATATATGTTTCTTAAATCATTTGCAATTAACAACATGGTTTAGGTGCATATGTGTGCGTTCAGTAGTAAACATCTGCGGGCTGGTAAAGAAGAAAGATGTATGCGTGAGTGCGTGCAGAAGTTAAGCATGATTTCTGCAACACTTGAAGTGTGCACAGCGCTCCGTCTATATTTCTTTGTTAGTATGAGAGTAGCACAAACTTTGTAAATTATATTTCTTAGTTAACCTTAATGTTATGTTAGTTAAAATGAATAAAAATTATACAGCCTTTAGATTATAGTGAACGAAAGTATTGCATGTAAGTTTCATCAGGTGAACTGAATGCTTGCACATTCTTTTATAAAAAAAATACTATCGCTAGCGGTTTTTTAAACGGATATGACTTAGAGACTATCAAGAAAAGAGCCAGCTCCTTAAAATACCGACGAAGCAGACATCACATAAGTTTTGCAGATGTTTACAGACGGCGGCAATCACATACAATCCGATAAGCCCAGCTTACTAGATAGTAAGTGATCTAATCGTTAGAAAACCTTTCTTTAAAAATAAATCTCTCACGAGAACACAATGTTCGTTTACCCTGTGAAAAGGCTTTTGTTAAACTACGTCACTGGCTCTTTTACCATCTTCGGAAACATCTACAGATAATATCCAAACACTGGCTTGTAATAAATAACAAAAACTCCGTTTAGAAAGAAATTAGCATTCAATTTTAAAATTCTTAATTATGAATATTATAATGATGGCCAATTCACGACTTTTTCTGTCACCAGGGCGGCGCCACTTAAATATGAGGTATAATATTTCACAGATTCCATAGCGGGGTAATTTATTTGTTAGAAAATTAAATTATTCAAACCACAGATATTCATAAAAGTAGAAAAATTCAAAAAAGAGTTAAAAATGTGCCTAAAATTAAAGAACTTAGGCATTGTTTTATGTACTGAAATACTTTTATTTAAAACTAACTTTTCAATTAAATGATATTGTGTAACAAATTGTTGTGTTTGTGTTTTTTTTTTCTTAAATAGAATCAGTGTGAAAATCACCCAGTCCACCTGATGGTAAGTGGATGCTGTGGCACATAGACATCCACATCTATCCTCGATTAAGAATGAAAATGCAGATGGGTTGCTACCCCTGAGGACTAAGATATAATGTCTCATTTCGAGTAAAAAGGTTATCCGGTTCTCTACACTCACCAAACAAAAGACGGCAGCATTGAGCTGCTATTTTACGCTGATATTCTGTGAGAGCGTGGTCCATTCCCGGCCGACCATAATATAGCTGCAGCATGGCTCCACCACGTATAACATGGCTCTACCACGTATAATATATATTGTACAATTTTGTGTATTATATGTCTGCGCCTGTTAACTATTAATGGAAACGAAAAAACAAGTGCTCCAATAGTGATGTGAACCCCAAGATAATTTATTTATTTATTTAATCTTTTATGCACAAAGTTGTACATATGGCTGACTTAATGCCATAGAGCATTCTCTCCCAGTCAACCATTAGGCTAAACAGAAATAGACAAACAAGAGGCGGTGCAGCAGTAATCAAAATAGAAAGGGCTAAAAAATATTGTATATACATATAAATATACATATACACATACATATATAAATACATATATACACATATACATGCATACAGTACATACATACACAATACATATAAATATCATTTATGTCCGAACAAATATGAAATATACATAATATGTGTATAAAAATAAGAGCTGTGTTAGTTCAAACCTGCAACGATTTTTTCATATACTTGCAGACTTGAATTTTAAAAATAAACTTGTTGGAAGCTTTTTTAATGTCAAGAGGGATGTTGTTCCAGAGTCTGATGGCAGTGAGGGCAAAAGAGTGAGATAAATAACCAGTACGGTGTAAAGGAGTGAGCAACTTAAGATTAGCCGAATAACGGAGAGAACGATTATGAGAATCTCCCAGGTATTGAAATTTGGATTTCAGATACTCGGGAGCACATGGATCGTTCAGAATTATGAAAAGGATAATGTGTGCTTTGGCGCCTCGAGATACCTACTATCGTCATCGAGTGATCACTGGCTCAAACCTTAAAATCTCCCAAAAACTTCACAATGTGACGCATTAACATATTGTGGCGAAGTTTTGAAACAAATTAATGTTTTTATGTACTTGACACTGGCAAAATTACAACAGTACGAATCCATTACCAAAGAAAAAAATATGTATCTTCTGTATTATTTTATAAAAAAGCATTTGTCAACTCTTGGCTCATTCCAACGCCGCAGTGCGCCAAACATTGTCCCGCGCTGTGCGGCACAACCTTATTAAATTCAACGTTACATTATACGCTTTATAGTGATTTAGAATGGCACAATATTGTACTAACTTTGTAAATTTCGCTTTTGTTTGCTAAAGCTAAACAGCGGCTAGATATAAATATAGGCTGAAATACGTCAACAAAAATTTTAAAAGAAAGAAAGAAAATTTTAATTATCGCTCAAGTTCATCATCACAAATCTTTGCTGAACAAAGGCCTTCCCTAAGGAATACCATGAAGCACATTTCTGAGCTATCTGCGTACCACCATGCGTCATTTACTAGGTACCATATAGTGGGGACCGCCATACACTTCGCTAACCGTTGCAAGGCAGCCACTCCCAGAACCTTTCTTCCCCATCGGTTGTCGGTTATTTTAGCTATATTACTTATGCTTACATATCCGTTGAGTTATGTCGGCTTCTCTGATTCTAATGGGTATTACCTCATCACGGAGTCTATCAATTAGAAAAACTCCGACTATAATCCAGTATATAGCTCGCTGAGCGACCTTGAGCTTCCGCATATGGCCTGCAGTGGGGGCCCTTATATTAAACTCACACATCATAACTGGCAACTCGCATTGGTTTCTCTCTTTTGATTCCAAGTTTTGAGGCAGGTAGATGTGACGAGAAGGCGAGTCGAAATCTCCGGACTGCTGCCCAGGAGAGCCTCTTGGTCGAATAGGACTTATCTAGTCGAACAATTTGTCCTAGGTGCGTACTCGTCAACAACTTTTAGCAAAGTGCTTCCAACAACTACTGGCTATATAAACATTGACGTGGACGTTACACATGACTTTTGTCTTGTCCATGTTAATTTTAAGATCTATCTGTTTGTAGAAACATATGCAGTCTAATAAAATTTAAAAAAAAAGTAGAACCAGACATACCACGCATTCGAACCAAACGATTTGTTTTAACTTTCGTCATGCGTACAGCAAAGGAGTGGAGTAGCTACCAGCGAATGTCTTTCCATTCGATTAACATTGTGGGTGTCTTCAAGACAAGTGTGAATAGGCTCTTGTTAAGTCAGTACGCTTTCCCATCTTCGACTGCATCACCACTTACCATTAGGTGGGATAATAATCAAGAACTGACTTAGAATAGTAAAAAAAAATATCTGAATTTAGGGTCTCCACAATTTAACTCTTTCTGTATTGCACGCCCTAAACGTAATGAGAGTATAACCA